CAAAGTCGAAACATATGCGTTGTTGGATGAAGGTTCTTCGGTTACTATGGTGGACAGCTCCTTGGTGAAGCAACTGGGTCTTCAGGGGCAACAAAGCAGATTACAACAAAGATTCCAAACTCGGCTCTTGTGGCGTACTGATGATGTTGTGCTTCCTGACAGTTACCATATGGCTCTTAATAGGCTCGTTGGCATTGAACGAAAAATGAAAAGATGCCCTGAATTTGGTGTCGCCTATAAAACCATAATGAAGGATTATTTGTCGAAGAATTATGTACGTAAGCTGTCGCCCATAGAAGCTGCTGATGTATGCCCCAGAACTTGGTATCTTCCGCATTTTGGAGTGGTCAACCCAAATAAGCCAGGAAAAATTCGGTTGGTTTTTGATGCTGCCGCATCCGTTGAAGGTGTTTCTCTCAATTCAAACCTGCTTAAAGGCCCCCAGCAATATAAGCCGTTGCCATCTGTTTTGTTCAATTTTCGTGTTGGTGCTGTAGCAGAGTGCGGGGACATAAAAGAAATGTTTCACCAGGTACTTGTGGCTCCTAAAGATAGGTGTTCTCAACGGTTCCTTTGGCGCGAAGATAATGAAGAAGCTCCCGATTGTTTTGAAATGCTTGTTATGACTTTTGGTGCTGCTTGTTCGCCTTGTGTAGCCCATTATGTCAATGAAACGAATGCTCTGTGTTATCGTGATCAATATCTTCGTGCAGTGAAGTCTATCTTGGATCATCATTATGTGGATGACTTTGTGGATAGTTTTCCTAGCTGGTGAAATGTTGATGTGTGGAATAATTGGCGCCAAGGTCTTCAAAATGTTGAAAAGGTCAAAGTACCTCGGTGTTATTTTGGAAATGGTGTTCCTTACCGCCTGGAACTACATGTTTTTGTCGACGCCAGTGAAGACGCATTTGGAGCCGTGTCATACTGGAGGTCAATAAATGCCCATAATAAAATTGAAGTGTCTCTTGTGGCTGCCAAATCTAGATGTGCCCCTTTGAAGATTATGAGTATTCCTCGGCTCGAACTACAGGCTGCTGTTTTGGGTACTCGGTTAATGGTTACAATTTCGAAGGAACATTCCGTTAAGGTATCAAGGATTATTTGTTGGAGTGATTCTACAACTGTAATAAATTGGATTGGCTCAAAAAGTCGCCGTTACAAACCTTTTGTTGCCCACAGAATTACAGATTGATTATAAAAGATTTTCCTCCTATTTGAAACTAAAACGTACAGTGGCTTGGGTGTTACGTTTTATAAACCGCTGCAGAAAGGAGACTGGTCCTGGTGAGGAAAATGGTTTAACTGCAGACGAGTTAAAAAATGCTGAAATATTGCTCTGCCGTCAAGCTCAACAAGAGCATTTTTGCCAAGAAATTGAAATAATTGAAAATGAAGGTAGTCTGCCCAAAAGTAGTGAATTGTACGCCCTGTGCCCTTATATGGATGAAAATTCATTACTTCGTATCTATGGTAGTGTGGATGCTGCTAGCTGGTTACCATTGGATTTAAGGCGCTAGATTATATTGCCGTCATTTCATCCTGTCACTGAGTTATTTGTGGCCCATGTACACGAAAAAATGAAACACCAAAATTTTGAAGCAACTATATGTGAAATTCGTAGTTCATTTTGGATTCCCCGCCTTAGGAAAATTTTACGTAATGTTTCTAATTGTCTTATTTGCAGATTCCGTCGTACATTGCCGGTGCCACCACTTATGGGTTCTTTGCCAAAGGACAGGTTGACTCCATATATTCGTCCCTTTTCCTACACTGGTTTGGATTACTTTGGCCCTCTGACTATTACGATTGGTCGTCGTCATGAAAAACGCTGGGTGGCTTTATTTACTTGCCTAACCATCAGAGCCATCCATTTAGAAGTCGCTTTCGATTTGTCCACCGATGCGTGTATTCTTGCCATACGCAATTTCATAAATCGACGTGGCCTTCCAACAAGACTCAGGAGCGACAATGGCACAAATTTTGTTGGTGCCGACCAATGTTGTTTATAATTGTATGATCATTGTTATTATTTTGTTCATATAACCGTTAGGATTTTTATATTGTTCTTTTTATTCCCTTTTGTTCTTATTTGTTTACGAACTAAACGCACTTTGTCCCTAAATTCTACTGCAGTATTTTCGTTAAGTTTTTTGTTTGTTTGGAATGTAACAGTTAGTAAATACACATAACAGAAAGAAATTTGTAGGCTCAGTATTTACTGGCTTTAATATTAAAGTTTAGTTTGTTGGGGACAAAGACTACGGTATGTGGTTCATATTTATATTAATACTAGCTGGCCCGACAGACGTTGTCCTGTCCAAATTAGAAAAAATGTTTATGTTCGATTTGTGATTTTAGATAAATCGAAAAAAGTGAGCGTAAAAGTGGGCGTGGTCAATTATTCTTTCAGTAAAACTTTAAATTTGATTACTACGAACATGTTTTAAAAAATTTAGCCAAATCGGTGCAGCCGTTTTCCGATTTTAGATAAATCGAAAAAAGTGGGCGTGATAAATTTTTCTTTCAGTAAAAACTTAAATTAGATTACTACGACCAGCCGTTTTCCGATTTTAGATAAATCGAAAAAAGTGTGCGTTAAAGTGGGCGTTGTCAATTTTTCTTTCCGTAAAAACCTAAGTTGGACTATGACGAACATTTCAGTAAAAAAATTGTCCAAATCGGTCTAGCCGTTCTCAACTGATGCAATTACCAACGCACGACAATTGATTTTTATTTATATATAGATATTTCAGTAAAAAATTGTCCAAATCGGTCTAGCCGTTCTCAACTGATGCAATTACCAACGAACGACAATTGATTTTTATTTATATAGATAGATAGATAAGAATAAGAAGAATAAATTATATACCAAAACAAATGGCAACTATATAATGCAATAAAAAGATATATAAACGACTGCTATAACATGAAAACTATAAAGGATATTTGCAACCATATCGGAGCCTTAAATTACCGCATTTCTAAACCTGTACCAATAAATATACCAATCTATCCAATTTTTGTAAAAATTCATTATGCCACAAATTATACACCAAAACAAAGTGCAACTGTAATGCTTTGAAATGATGCATAAACGATTGTCCTGGCATGAAAACTGTCAAAGTTATTTGCAACCATATCGGAACCTCAAATCACAGCGTTTTTAAACATAGAACAACAATTCTACCGATCCATGAAATTTAAAATTTTTTAGAAGAACACATTTTGCCACAAATGATATACCAAGTTAAAGTACAATCGTAATGCATTAAAATGATGCATAAATGATTGTCATAGCATGAAAACTGTCAAAGTTATTCGCAACCATATCGGAACCTCAAATTACCGCCTTTTTAAACCTGGGAAAATAATTCTACCGATCTATCCAATTGTCCATTTTCTAAAAATACATTATGCAATAAATTATGTACCAAAACAAATAGCAATTTTAATGCTTTAAAATGGTGCATAAATGACTGTCTTAGCACGAAAACTGCCAAAGTTAATTGCAACCATATCGGAACCTCAGATTACAGCGTTTATTAAACATAGAACAATAATTCTACCGATCTATCAAATTGACCAATTTGTAAAAACACACATTATGCAACAAATTATATACCATATTAAAGTGCAATCATAATGCTTTAAAATGATGCATAAATTACTGTCATAGCATGAAAACTGTCAATGTTATTTGCAACCATATCGGAACCTCAAACTACCGCGTTTTTAAAGCTGTGAAAATAATTCTATCGATCTATCCAATTGGCCATTTTCTAAAAATATATCTTCTATATAAATAATTGGTAATTGCATCAGTTGAGAACGGCTAGACCGATTTGGACAATTTTTTTACTGAAATGTTCGTCATAGTCCAACTTAGGTTTTTACGGAAAGAAAAATTGACAACGCCCACTTTTACGCACACTTTATTCGATTTATCTAAAATCGGAAAACGGCTGCACCGATTTGGCTAAATTTTTTATTTAAATGGTCGTAGTAATCTAATTTAAGTTTTTACTGAAAGAAAAATTTACCACGCCCACTTTTTTCGATTTATCTAAAATCGGAAAACGGCTGCACCGATTTGGCTAAATTTTTTAAAACATGTTCGTAGTAATCAAATTTAAAGTTTTACTGAAAGAATAATTGACCACGCCCACTTTTACGCTCACTTTTTTCAATTTATCTAAAATCACAAATCGAACATAAACATTTTTTCTAATTTGGACAGGACAACGTCTGTCGGGCCAGCTAGTTATGGAATAAATTATATACCAAAGCAAATGGCAACTATAATGCAATAAAAAGATATATAAACGACTGTTATAACATGAAAACTATAAAAGTTATTTGCAACCATATCGGAGCCTTAAATTACCGCATTTTTGAACCTGTACCAATAAATATACTGATCTATCCAATATTTGTAAAAATTCATTATGCCACAAATTATACACCAAAATAAAGTGCAACTGTAATGCTTTAAAAAAAAGTGGGCGTGGTCAATTATTCTTTCAGTAAAACTTTAAATTTGATTACTACGAACATGTTTTAAAAAATTTAGCCAAATCGGTGCAGCCGTTTTCCGATTTTAGATAAATCGAAAAAAGTGTGCGTAAAAGTGGGCGTGGTCAATTTTTCTTTCCGTAAAAACCTAAGTTGGACTATGACGAACATTTCAGTAAAAAAATTGTCCAAATCGGTCTAGCCGTTCTCAACTGATGCAATTACCAACGAACGACAATTGATTTTTATTTATATAGATAGATAAATCGAAAAAAGTGTGCGTAAAAGTGGGCGTTGTCAATTCTTCTTTCCGTAAAAACCTAAGTTGGACTATGACGAACATTTCAGTAAAAAAATTGTCCAAATCGGTCTAGCCGTTCTCAACTGATGCAATTACCAACGAACGACAATTGATTTTTATTTATATAGATTATTTTTGTAATAATTTAAATTTTTTATTAGAAATAAACGTTTACACCCTTGCATCATAATTTTAAACAAATTTGTGGTTCTTTTTGGGTGTTTGTTAAACTCGCTGTCCTCAACATAAGGCTCAAGTCGCAGCCAGCGACACTATTGAATTCAGATATTGGTATATTATCTAAACTTCGCTTAGGAGCATTTTTAATAGTTTTTACTGAATTTTCAGCCTGCCCATTTGTAGCCGGATGCCCTACTGGACTTGTAATGTGTTCAATTCCGTTAAATTTTAAAAATAATTTAAATTTATTGGAAACAAAAGATGTTCCATTATCCGAAACAACACATTTTGGTAAACCAAAACGAGCAAACAGTTCCCTTAGAACAGAAATCACTGCACGACTTGTCGTATTACTGCCCATATCAATGCACTCCACCCATTTACTGGTATTATCCACTACAACTAAGCACCAACGCTTTAAAAACGGTCCAAAGAAATCTATGTGTATTCTGGACCAAACTTCCTCTGACCTAGGCCAAGGGATTAACTCCTGCTGTGGAGGGCTGGGACGAGTCATTAAACAGGGGTCGCACGCTTTAACTATCTCTTCTAGATCTTTGCCCTGATTTGGCCACCAGCAACATTCACAAGCCATAGATTTCATTTTCACTATGCCCATGTGTGAAGCATGCAAAAATGCAACCACCTCCGCTCTTAATTGTTTTGGTATAATCACCCTATAGCCCCAAAACAAACAACTTGATTCCATAGACAACTCATGCCTTTTTAAGAAATAGGGATGCAAATCGGGATCCGAACATTTAGGCGGCCAGCACGCCACAACAAAACTACAAACTTTCTGCAATATGCCATCTTTCTTTGTTTCTAAAACAATTTTTTCAAAATTCAAAAATCCTCTATCACTCTGAATCCCTTGAACATAATTAACCAAAATATCCGTTGGCGAATCGTCAATTTTCATGTCATCTTCCATAGGGTATCTTGAAAAATAGTCAGCAATATTACATTTTGATTTAATATAAGCAATATCAAATTGATAACCTGTCAGAGTTAACGCTATACGCTGCAATCTATTTGATGCCATCACCGGTATTCCTTTCTTTGGATTAAAAATGTGATGCAAAGGCTTATTATCCGTAACTAACGTAAACGGACGACCGTACAAATACTGGTGAAACTTTTTTACTCCAAACAAAATTGACACGGCTTCACGGTCTAATTGTGAATATCGCTTTTCAGTCGGTGTCAACGTTCTCGAAGCAAACTCATTTGTTCTATCTTCGCCTTTGTCATTAATCTGTGACAACACAGCGCCTACCCCTACAGGGCTGGCATCTACCGTCACTTTAGTTTTAAAATTAGCATTAAAATGCGCTAAACAATTCCCAGCCAACAAACACTCTTTTATCTTATCAACGGCCTCATAACAATCTCGCGTCCATTTAAATTCAGTATCGGCCTGATGTAATGGATTTAACATTGTGGATACGCTCGGCAAGAATCTTCTATAGAAGTTAACGACCCCTAAAAAAGCCTGAAAGTCTTTTACATTGTTCGAATATGGAATTTCAGTAATATTGCGAACTTTTTCGGGATTCATACGCAACCCATTTTTGTCAATTACATGGCCTAAATATTTTATCTCTTTACGGAAAAATTCACATTTTTCTGGCGATAATTTAAACCCGGCATCCCTGAAAACAGTTAGAACCCGTTCCAGACGTTCGCAATGTAACTTTCGATTCGGAGCACTTATTAAAATATCGTTTAAAAATACCACCACGCCCTCCAAACCTGCTAAGAGTGAATCCATTATTCGCTGAAAAATCGCCGGCGCTGAAGCTAAACCATATATAAGCCTAGTATATTGAAATAACCCTTTCGAAGTAGATATAGTAGTAAATTTGCGTGATTCTTCATCTAACTCTATTTGTTGGTACGCCATACTTAAATCCAGTTTTGTAAATTCTTCGCCACCATACAATTTTGCAAAAATTTCCTCAATGCGAGGCAAAGGATATTTCTCTATCATTAAGTATAGGTTTAAAGTTACTTTAAAATCCCCGCAAATCCTAATACTAACATCTTTTTTCATAATTTTAACAATCGGCGTCCCACAAACGCTATATTCGACTGGCTGTAAAATTTTTAATTTAACCAAACTTTCTAAACTCGCCTCCACCTTGTCCTTAAGCCCCAATGGCAAAGGTCTAGGCCTAAAAAATGTTGGTAGTGCATCATCTTTAACTTTCAACACGGCCTTACCCATTTTAAATTTTCCTAAACCCCCATCAAATAGATCTTTAACTTTTGAAAATATGGGACCATTCATAAATTTGTTTAGCTCAGACGAATAATTTACATTGCAAATTTCAATCCCGAAAGCCTTTAAAAAAATTTTACCCAAAAGTGGTGGACCGCCATTTTCTATTACAATAATTGGGATACGTTTGCATTTATGACCGTATTGAACTAACACATCACAAGCACCGATAGGCAATATGTTTAAACCATTATATGTTTTCAATAGCATGAAGATTTTGTCTCGGGCCGGACCCTTTTCCAACCCCATTACAAATTGATCACGAATTGCAGTTTCCAAAAACGTCCCAAATTCGCAATATACCGCTAATGCTCTAACCCTTACGGCCCATTCGTTTATTGTCTCCGTACTAGTTTTTGATGCATTATAAAATTTGTACCTTTCTGCAAATCCTGATGTCGGTGGTTTAAAGTGCTTCTTCATCATCGCTACACAGCTATCATAAGTTGTTGTAGTATCTTCCACTGTGGCTGGACTCAACAAATTTTGTAACAGCATATACGAAGTTTCACACAATGACGTAAGCAAAATTGCCTTCTTCTTTACGCAATCAATTATTTCATTTGCCAGTAAAAATTGATCCATTTGGCTTTGAAATATTGACCAATTTTTTTTTTGCGTATGGTCAAAATACGGCACCTTCACAATGATTTGTGTAGTCATTTTTTATACTATTTTTACAAAGTCAAACAATTTGTTACTGCAATTGTTTCACCAATTTGCAGTTCTTCTTATTTTTTTTTTAGTTTATCCTCGTCGCCACTGTAATAAACTCTAACGGTATAAACAAAAACCAGTTTATGCTTATTTTCTTGTTTCATTTATTTATTTATGTGTTACTTCTTTGCTGTCTATAATGCGAGTGAGCTTACATGCTAATAAATTAAAAGGGTAAAGCAAGATGATAAAGTAAACCTCTGTTATTGTTGTTAAAAGGCGAATTCATACATACATACAAAGTGCAATCTAAATAAAAGAGATTTACCATACCATAAGAGAAATCGTTAGCGTTATATCTCTTTACAGAGTTAATACTCTACAAGCTCAAAGGATTTGGCATTTCAAGGACGATCCTCATACACAATTTCAGTTTAAAATGTCTAAACCAAATTTAGTTAAATCTATACCATTAACTCAAACAAATATTATTGAACATGATGATGTTGATAAATTTTTAACATGGTTCGAAAACACAAATTCCGCTTCAAACGATGGCAAAACCACGCCAAAAAGTGATAATACATCAACATATGATTATTCTCCAAGTGGCATTAATAAAATCTTTGAAGGAAGTATTCCTGACGGGTTAGAAACTGACATTTATGATTGGGATCTTTTCCCACCACTAAAAAGAGTAAAAACTGAAAATAGGTCATTTAAACAAAGTAAAAATATTGAAATTAATTCTTTTGATTTGAAACTTAAAAGCACGGAAGGACCAAATCTGTCTAATAGCCAAAAGAGAACTATAGAGAAATTACTACAAGAGTTTCATTCTGTTTTTGAAAATAACTCAGAAACTGTCCCACACGTGGAACATTTTATTAACACTGGCACACATACCCCTATATCATGTGCTCCATACCGCATTTCACCGGTGATGAAAGAGAAACTTAAAGCCGAAATTGCCGACATGTTAAAGAATGGAATAATTAAGGAAGAAGAATCTCCTTGGGTGTTTCCGGTTGTGCTTATTCCAAAGAAAACTGGCGGTATAAGAGTTTGTGTTGATTATCGTCGTTTAAATGCCATCACCGTTACTGATAAATATCCACTTCCAAGGATGGATGATTTGTTACATGCTGCAAAAATATCTTCGTTCATGTCTACTATAGATTTAAAGTCGGGATATTGGCAAATTAAAATGTCTGATGCAGATAAACTGAAAACGGCCTTCACAACTCCTTTTGGCATTTATGTTTTTAACAGAATGCCTTTCGGTCTTAAAAATGCGCCAGCAACATTCCAAAGACTTGTCGATAAATTTCGGTATGGACTTCCGCAAGTAATTATATTAGCATATTTGAATGACATAATTATTTGCTCAAAAGATTTTGAATCCCATGTTAATGATTTAAGAAAAACGTTTGAAAGAATAAAAATATTTAAACTCCAACTAAATCGTGAAAAATGTAATTTCTGTAGGCCAGAGGTCAAATATTTGGGTCACGTATTAACTATTAACGGTTTAAAACCTGACCCTGAAAAAACAGCAGCTATTCTACAGCGTCCACATCCCAAGAATTTAAAACAATTAATTTCTTTTCTACAAACATGTTCGTGGTATCGCCGATTTATACCAAATGTCGCTGAAATTTCAAAACGTCTATCGAATCTAACCAAGAAAAATATAAAATGGAAATGGGATGATGAAGAACAGAATTCGTTTAATAATTTGAAAACTTGTTTAGTATCTCCACCAATATTACAACAAATAGATGAAAACAAACCATTTTTTCTGAAAACAGACGCAAGCAATTTTGCACTCGGAGCTGTTCTCCAGGGGGAGAAAGAAGAGGAGCACCCAATAGAGTATGCAAGTCGTCTTCTTCTAGCCGCAGAAATAAACTACTCCACAACGAAAAAGGAAGCATTAGCTGTCGTTTGGGCTGTTAAAAAGTTTCGTGGTTATATCGAAGGTTTAGAAATCTCAGTTTTAACAGACCACCAACCCTTAAAATGGCTCTTCAGTTTAAAATCTCCAACTGGCCGTTTAGCAAGATGGGCTCTGCAGTTGCAACCCTATAACATTAAATTTGGATACACACCCGGAAGACAAAATGTTGTGGCAGACACATTGTCTTGACCACCTTGTTCAATAGAAAATCACTCAGACATTACTTGTGAATGTTGTTCAATATCTGTAGATTTCCCGCGACGTGGTTCAGCAGATATAAGAAAAGCTCAGCTAGAAGATACAGATATTAAAACAATTATTTCATCATTTGAAGCTGACGATGAAAACATGTATAGATACACAAGTCGTGGATACATAATGATAGATGGTGTATTGTATCGTTATTGCTCGGATCAAGATTCAGAAAATGGTCAACTGGTAGTACCAAGAAATATAAAGCAACGAATCTGAAACCGGTAGGCTCACTTCGTACAGTTGCAAGTAATCAGCGTTTTGAAGTAATTGCCATAAATCTTGTTGGACCATTACCAAGAACAAATAAAGGTCACCAGTGGATTTTGATTATTGAGGATATTTGTAGCCGCTGGGTCGACTTGTTTGCATTAAAAGAAGCTAAAGCAGAAAATTGTTCATTAATTATTCTAAATGAAATCGTTTTGTGTTACGGAGTTCCAAGGCGTATTCATACAGATAATGGCTGTCAATTTATTTCAGCAATTATGCAACAACTTACTTTTTGTTTGGGCATTGATCAAACCTTTACCCCTGTATATCACCCTGAAGCAAACCCCGTTGAGAGAAAAAACCGAGACCTAAAAACATAATTAGCAATTTATGTGGGTAAGGAACATACATCTTGGCATTTAAAACTACCCATGCGATGAACACTTCAAAATGTGAAAGTACTGGTTATTCTGCAGTATACTTAACATTTGGTCGAGAATTGAGAAGTCCTTTGGAGGCACATTATGACTTAAGAGAAATTATAGAATAAATTTTATTCCTCAGATCACACCCCATTTAATAAGACTTGCTGAAACGTTAAAAATTGCTAAAGAAACTGTCGAAAGAACACAAGATCGTAATTAAACATATACTAACGTAAGACGAAGACCCCAAATTGATTTTAATATTGGAGATAGAGTTCTAGTGGCGACCCATGTGTTAAGTAATTCTGCGAAAAACATAACATCAAAATTTATACCACGACGAGATGGTCCGTATACAATAATAAGCAAAAGAGGACCTTGCTACACTATAGCTACAGAAGAATCTCCTAGATACCACTAGCGACTTACCATGCAACAGATCTTACGCTATACAAAGAATCATCAGATGAACCCATATATCCAATACGACGCCGTGATCGTCCTACATCAAACACAACAACTAACACGCTGACACAACCAACAACAACCGATTCAACAACAAATAATACACAATTACCCATAACAACCAATTCAGAGCCCTTACCAAACAGGAGAAGCAGTAATCGAACTCTTAGGGAAAGGCAACCGAGGAAATACTACTAAGATCCTGCCACATCATCTGGACGATTAATGAGGCAGAGGGGGAGGCTGTAACATGGATTCATTTTAATTATTATTATTAATATTATTATTTAATTATTATATTGTTATGAATCGTTTTACATTTTTATTAAACTATTTGATCGTTATTATTTGTTATATTTTGCTAACTTTTATTTTCTAAACTTTCCCATAAATATTTTTCCTTTACTGTTTAATGTTTAAAAGTAATTACTCAATATCTCTTCTTTACATTTTAATGCATTTGCTCAACTTATTTTGTTTAATTCTCATTACATATTATCACTCAATTCATTGTTTTACTGATTCTCCGTTTAATTGCAATATTTCTCAATATTTGTTTATCACTCAATTTTTTATCTTCTTTTGTCTTGCAATAATTTTTGATTATAAGAACAGATCAATGTACAAATTTATGCTATTCTATGATAAGCCTTCAACAAATAAAGATCTTAAATAGAAAAATAACATAAATTTTTTCAATAATAAAAACTTATATGTGGGCGAATATAACGATATTCTGTTTGTTCAAGCCCCATATTATAATTTAATAAAAAAAAATATTTAAATATTGTGGTCAACTTGGACGACTCTGTCTGGTTAAGACCCTTTATTTTAATATTAAATATAAAAACGAGTCTCATCCCTTACAACTATTTAAACAAATTCCAACCATTATATGAAGAAATTTGTTATTTATTAAGACGAATAAACAACTTTGATGATAAAATGCAGGATGCACTTACTTGTTTACTGCG